TCGGGTATTTTGACAGGGTATTTCACAATTTCGGGTCCCCTGTCTTTCATTCTTCGTTTCTCCCTCGTTCGGACTCCAAATCAGGTGTCGTTTGATCCCAGGCGCTCGTAGTTTCGTCTTCTTTCATCTCATGACAAGCTTACATGATCCTATGGTCACAAAGTGAGGTAGAAACTCATTCTTCTTCAGGTGATTCCCAAATTTCTTCCCCCGAGTTGCCAATTGATCTCCGATTGACTTGAAACTTGCACCTATGCTTCACTTTATGTGCTAGGACCCGACATGTGACAAAGGAACACAACCTAATGTAAAATAGGCCAAAGAAGCGATAATGCAAGCTTAAAATATCAAGAAACAAAGGGAAAAACATGTGCAAATATCGAGTCATCAACGAGACTGACCCTTTCTCACTCACCAGGTAGAAGAAGGGTTAACGGACGTGGTTTTCGAGAAGAGGCATGACAAGGCGAGCAGTCGCACCATCGCTGACGAGATTTCAGGAAGCTCAACGAGGAGTTAAAGTTAGAGTTTGTTTAGTTTTTTATGTTTATGATTATGAGTATAAACTGAAGGTTCATAGTTTAAGCTGTTTTATTGACTATGGTTTGAGGTCGCTCACCTGTTTAGGGCATTGCATCTGCCAGTTTTCTTGGAAATGATTTAAGTTGTATTTGAATTTTTTAGCTTTGTTTTTAACCGTCTCCAGAGCCATGATTATTTCAATTTTCTTAAAAGGATCGGGTTATTTCATTTTGGTATTAGAGTCGACACTGCTCTATTCCTTGGTTTCCAAGGAATACTAGAGTGACAGTCTTGGTGTTTTTCAAGGTTTTTGTGTTAAAAGGAAAGGAAAAAGGGTTGTCAGGTTAAATGTTTTACTAAGGGAATAAAAAAGGTTCTTTTGAGGAAGAAGAAATCCTCTAATCATGATTAGGAAAATAACTCTATTATGCCAACGTGACTATGATACCTCTCGGGAAGGAGAAATAGCAGATTCCTAAGAGGATTGTTTAGCGAAAACCCTTTCATGAGTGAGAAGAAGAGGTTCAAGGCAGCTCATATCCTACGGTGATGCGAACTGATTAGAATAAGGTTCAGGAAGATGCCAAGTATCTAGTACGTCGACAGGCAGTAGCCAAGGAGTTACCGCAAATGGCGGCCATCATCGAGAGGAAAGGAAGAAAGAAGGGTTCGCTAAGTTCACAAGAATCAAACTTAGGCCTATGATCCCAAGGAGCATTGGAAAGTTAGACTCTAACGCTAGGGGCTCATAGTCAAAGCAAAGAAGGAAATTAAGGACGTCATAGGGAGCCTGCAAGATTTCAAGGGATCAATACATCAAGGCTAGGAGGAGGCATGTTCGGGCACATACATCAACAGAGGAATCCCTTATGGATACAATATGCCCCTAAGAAGAGGAATCATGGAGCTAAGAAACTAGAACGACGACAAGAGCTGAAAGGAAGGAGTCGACCATCGAGATTAACGATGTAAATAATGAGGAAGGACCAAGCGCACTATGTAGCTAATAAGTGCAAGTTAGAGGATAAGGTATGTGAGGGATTCCTACTGGATGGAAATATGTTCCACGGTGGCGAGATAGACATGGAATCTGATGGTGACGAGTTTCGTGTTCCCCATTGCCCAAGTAGATAAGCCACTAGGTGGTGATGCGTGTCACAATAGTCACAATTCAAGTTAAGGGGCACCATTGGGAGGGTAGACAAGTTTAAGTATGTGAGGTTAATGGTGGCACCAATTAAGTCGAAGTATGAGGAGGGATTCGAGAGATCCTACGAGTTACAGTAGTCATGGGAGGTGAGAATTTCAAAGGACACAAGGAGCATCGTTGGACCAAGGTATGTTAAGAGTTAGAAACTCGAAACCTACCCAAGAAAGGTTATCAAGTCAGCCGAGGATGGACAAGAAGGTAGGACGTTCGAGGGAAGTTCTAATAAGGGTCAGAGAAAGCAAGTATGACCTTTGAGGAGGAGTTTCAATGGACACGATAAGGATGAATTACATAACATAACAAGAGAGAGTGAGAAGGTAAAAGAAAGTTCGAGGTGATCCCAAGGAGAGTGCCACAGTGCCATAGTCGCATTGAGCAAGCAGCTAGCAGAGTAAGTGGTTTATAAGAAATGGGTAAGTTATGAGTTGACCAAGAACCACACAAATCGGAGGCAATAATTTATAGCTCCAAGTCGTACAAGGTAAAGGAAGTATAAATCTAGTAGTAGAAGGATTACCACAAGTGAGACTTTAAGCTATCATGATCAACAAATTTCGAGATTCAAAATTTTCTTAAGGAGGGAGAAATGAGATATCTCAGTCGAGACAAGCTCTATCAAATGCAAGGTGTCTTAGTCCAAAAGCCGAGTTCACAGTCTAAGATTCGACCATACCAAATGAACGGGTGGATTGACGACGGTTACGTACAAAGGATTGCAACCGTGGATTAAGAATAATTATTTTTATTACTATTACTATTACTATTACTATTACTATTACTATTACTATTAAAAAAAATAGAAATTGATTTCTAACCCTTTACACGACCCAACGGGTCCCCCTTAATCCCAATATAATCGTCTTTTTTTCCCCACATCCGTTACCATTACATAAACCGCTCAATAATTATCCATCCCCCATTATTCCCCATTCATCCCCTTCCCTTTTACTAGCAACAACCAGGAAGAGAAAGAAAGAAAGAGGAAGGAAGGAAGAAGAAATAAAAGAAACAGCAGTCGTCGAGTCCCCGACGAAGATCAACCCTGACTAGCAACAGCCGCCGTGGCACGTCGCTACTGCCAGACGACCAGCAGCGCCAACAGCTTCCTTCCTCCCATAGACACGAAAATCAAGGCGGCAGCAGCTCACCACCATTACGTCGCGTGGTGCTCCACCTCCCAGCGTCGCAGGTCTCTCCGTCGAACAATCCCATGTTTTTTACTCGACGTCAAAGAAGAAGGGAGAAAGTGAGGGAATAGAAGGAGAGGGGAAGGAAGGATTATGAGCATCGGGTTTTGGTCAGGAGAAGGTCAAAATTCAGCTAGCGGAGTCAAAATCCAGTTTGGACGTCATTAGATGCCTCGTCGGAGCTTCGACCACAATTGGTCAGAGTGTCACCGGAAAACCAGAAATACCAATTTCAACCATTCTTTGAGTGGTGGGTATCAATGCGAAGAGGATGATCCTAGTATCGTCACCTTATTGCCGAAATCGAATTCCGACGTCGGACGAGGGAGAAACGAGCACCGGAAGTTGAGACAAAAATCTGTCAAGTTCAGGTACCATTGTGGACAGTCAGTGGATTATTTCTGTGTTTTTCCAGAGGGGTCGTGGTCAATTGTGTTGACTGGAAAATTTCAGTTTCGGTACCTGGTACTTTGAAAACTGACAGAATATTTGTTTTGGTCATAGCTCGATGATCTGGCATCCGATCGAGGAACCTTCTGCGCCTATGGAATCGTGAAAGCAAGGAGAATATTATAGGAGGAAATTTTGGAATTTTCAGAGTCTAAACAGAGCCGTCTTTTCGATGTGATTGTAAAGGGCATAATATCTCAGTCGTAGGTCTTTTAGTTTATGCAATTACTTTAAATAATGCTAGTTAATTTTTGAATTTTGTGCAACTATGTGAATGTGTGTGTTGATGTATGGTTAATGGTAAGAGGATCACTATTGGACAACAATACATAACACAACAGTTGATCGGGCATGGTACTGAAAGGGGAGACGTAACGCAGACCATTGATGAGTTGGGTATGCAACCGGACGGCGAGACCTAACGCAGTTGGCATACCAAGGTAGGGACACTGGACGGCGAGACGTAACCCGGTGGACCCTAGTGATATGTGTATGAGTTAAGGATAGAAGTCGAGAACTTCTATGAGTTAACGTTGGAATAATGTAATGAGGATGAAAGCGAGAACTCATCTATGGAAAGAAAATGCTTATAACGTGTTTTAGTAAGGAGATTGCTTAGGTAAAGACCTTAGGAAGTAACAACGAGACTGACCTCTTCTCACTCACCAGGTAGAAAAAGAGTTAACGGACGTGATTTTCAAGAAGAGGCAAGACGAGGCGAGTAGTCGCACCAGCGTTGACGAGATCTCAATGAGCTCAACGAGGAGTTAGAGTTAGAGTTTGTTTAGTTATTTATTTTTATGATTATGAGTATAAATTGGAGGTTCAGAGTTTAAGTTGTTTTATTGACTATGGTTTGAGGTCGCCCACGTGTTTAGGACATTACATTTGCTGTTTTTTTTGGAAATGATTAAGTTGTATTTGAATTTTTTAGCTTTGTTTTTAACCGACTCCGGAGCCATGAGTATTTCGGTTGCTTAAAAGGATTGGATTGTTTCAGAACGAATCATTAACGAAGAGCTCGCAAGTATTCCCCACCCTGAACCCGACCCTCGGCGCCCGTCGCCCACCTCCCTTTCTTATGCCGGACGGGCTGAAATCAGGGATAAAATTGTCAGTTTGGTATAGTTTAGGGGTAAAAAATTTAGTATAATGTCTATTTTTTATCCGTATTTTTTTCAGATTCTTTTATATTATCCAGACATATTAAAATGTTAGTAATTAGCCAAATATTTCGTAATTCATCAAAATATTAGCCATTTTTATGTATCGTTAATAATTTTGTAAGTCGTTTCTTAGTTAAAATACTAAAATTTTGGAATGTTGACTTTCATGTGTCTCTTCCAACTCCAAGTGAGTATCATGTTGCCAAATCAATTTTACTAACAAAATTGCTAACTGAAAGTTAAAATTTGACTAATTCTTCGTATTTCGATAAATTTGGATAATACAAAAGAATCTGATAAAGATTTGGATAAAAGATAAACATTACACAAAAATTTTAGGCAGACGAACAACGATTCATTCACAGAAGTGGATAATTACCAAATGACCTCACAGTACAGCCATTAATTACGGAATTGACCCCGCAGTTATAGTCCCCATCTCGAAACTCGATCTGGAGCTGGGTTGGGCAACGCAACTTCACATGGACTGTGATCTCAGCGGAAGAGCACTGAAAGAGAAATCTGGAAGGAAGCGAAGAGACAACGGCCGGAGAGAATTCCCTTAAATTCTCGATTCCCCCTTCTCTTTCCTCCGGCGGACTGCGAGGAAGTAGTAGCAGTAGAAAGTTAGGCGGTGGAACTGGAAAGAGCTGGCGTCTTTCAGTCCGAAGCGAGTCATGGCGGAGCTGAGGCATTCGAGCTCGCTTGGCGCCAGGGCTACTGCTACTTCGTCTCCGATGAAGCGCGAAGAGAAGGACGCTTCCCCTCTCCTCCTCCACCACGACAAACCCCCTGCGGCCGTCAAAGACGACGACGATGACGACGGTCGCCGCCACCATTTCGCCAGGGATCGCGACCGTCCCTTCTGGTCCAATCTTGTCCCATTTCTAAGCGACGACCCTAGGTTTTCGTCTCAGAACTCCAGGATCTCCATGATTCTGATCGGCGTCGTCGCTTTCGCCGGATTGATCTCCATCTTCTCAATCTTCCACCGCTTGGTAAGTTGTACTTTGGCTGAATCCGTGTCCATTGCTCAGTTAAATGGTTGTCAGTTTTGCTTATGGTTATTGGGAATTTTTCATTTTTGTTTTGTAGAATGCTCCTTACTTGTGTAAAAAGGATGGCATTGTGCTCCATTGCCCACATGTAAGCTGCATTGTTCAAAGGATGAAACTTTGGGAATTCTCTATTATATGGTCTTGGAGTTGTATTCAATTTCCATTTCATGGTTTCATTTTTCAGGTCAAGGAGTCTTCTTCCCTCTGGGAAAATCCCTTATCTGCAACAACTTCTTGGAAGCCTTGTGCTGAGCGTCGTGATGGTGGAAATTCAGGTGATTTGTGTTTCATTCAACCGTGTTTCTGGGTTGGTTAGATCGGCCTTATTGTATAAGATGAGGTATGCCATCAAATTAAAATCTTTGGGGGCATGATTCTTGTTATTGGGGAAAGAAAGATTCTGTTGCTATTCCATGTATAGGACAGCTCCGAGATCGAATATGTGACTTGTTTGCCTAAGGAAGAAAGCTTGTAGCTGAATGATTGTGAATTTTCTGTAACATGTTTAGCATTGTGTCTTTGGAAACGGTAGAATTTGTGCTAACTGCTGTCATGTGCCTATGGATTGGCTTTTCAAGGGTGTTATATCGTGTAGGTTCTTATTCCATTTGTTGACTTTGTAACTCTACTTTTCTTTGCAGATGTTCCTCGTGAGAATGAAACAAACGGTTATATCTTCATCCATGCTGAGGGTGGCTTGAACCAGCAAAGAATTGCTGTACAAATCTATTCCTTGAAATATTATATGTGCAACATCTTGATTTCTACACAGATTGGAAGTTGATATATATATTTTTTCTTTTCCTTTTGTCAGTGCTTTTTTGTTTTTGAAAATCACCATCTTTCCTGAGGAAATCTGTGTCATCATTTCAACCATGTTCTTCCTTCATGAAGATCTTCTTTTCTTCTGTCCCTTCTTGCCCCTGTATATTTGTGGCACAGTAATGCGATTGAGTTGACAAAGCTGGTTTTCAGATTGGTCTTATAATTGCATTTATTGCCTTTGCATTTGTGAGATACTGTCTTTGAAAATGATGCTGGCTGGATGCTTAGTAACTATGATCTAGAATGCAGTTACTTTGATGAGTTTCAAAACCTATGCTTATTATCCAAATTTAACAAACTTCAGAATGGCTAAGTTCAACATTAATATTGTTGGGTGCAGATATGCAATGCAGTGGCTGTAGCAAAAATAATGAATGCCACTCTGATTTTGCCCGTATTGAAGCAGGATCAGATCTGGAAAGACCAGACGTAAGTTTCATGGACCACATTCTTGTGCATAAATTGCCAAATCAATTATTTTGGTATTCTCTTATCAAGTATGTGACTTCTTTTTCCAATTGTTCCAAACTGGTGAACTGTAAGATTGCCAGATTGGTGATCCTTATAACACTGTCTCCTCAAACCATCTGCAGGAAATTTGAAGACATTTTTGATGTTGATCATTTCATTGATTATTTGAAGGATGACGTGCGCATTGTTCGTGACATACCTGAGTGGTTTACGGACAAAAATGAGTTGTTCACAAGCATAAGGTACATGATAATTGAAGAACGCCTATTGCATTGGATGACTAGATTGGTGAAGTTGGGACTGATCATTTGACTTCTCATTATAGGCGGACAGTGAAGAATATTCCAAAATATGCACCAGCCCAGTTCTACATTGATAATGTCTTGCCTCGGATCAAGGAGAAGAAGATAATGTCACTGAAGCCATTTGTTGATCGACTTGGGTAAGCAATGATTAAATTAAATGTCATACTGCTCTTGTAAAACCCTCTCCTTCTCAAACTCAACTCTACTTTTGTTGCTTTGTCATCTTTGTACTTCTTCTAGGTATGATAATGTGCCTCAAGAAATCAATAGGCTGAGGTGCAGGGTTAATTATCACGCACTGAAATTTCTCCCACATATAGAGCAGATGGCTGATCTGTTAGTTTCAAGGATGAGGAACCGCACAGGAAGTCCAAATCCGTATATGTACGTCAAATGTCGGTTTCTTTTTATGTTTACTTAACTGAAACTCTGCTAGGAAATTTCCATCTGTTCTAACCCAAATTTATGTGCTTTTTGATTGCTTGTAAAACACAGGGCTCTCCATCTTAGATTTGAGAAAGGGATGGTCGGTTTATCCTTTTGTGATTTTGTGGGGACGAGAGATGAGAAAGTTAAGATGGCTGAGTATAGGAAGAAAGAATGGCCTAGGCGTTTTAAGGTGTGCTGTAATCTTTCTCCTTTATTTGTTTCCTTTTTTAGGGGACCCTTGAAGATCATTGAGATATAATCGACTAATCGAGGGTGTGTATTGCAGAATGGTTCCCATTTATGGCAACTGGCTCTTCAGAAGAGAAAGGAAGGACGGTGCCCCCTTGAACCAGGCGAAGTAGCAGTGATACTTCGAGCAATGGGTTATCCGAAGGAAACTCAAATATATGTAGCTTCCGGGCAGGTCTATGGCGGACAAAACCGAATGGCTCCACTCAGAAACATGTTCCCGAATCTGGTAAGTCTTCCCTATCTGTCACCCAAGAACCCATGTGAAACTGAAATGCTTATGGAGTCGGTTGGTAATGAAGGATTGGTCTCTATTATCTTGAAAATGCATGTTTTTTTAGTATCATTCATCATTCTTCTTGTCCGAATCTGTTATGTAAACCATGTATTTCTAGACTATGTGATCGCTTCTAATCTTAGACATATTTGGGACCGCAATGCATTCGACGGTCTGTGGCCACCATTACCATCCCGACTAACTAAACACTATTCTGGCATGACATGCATTCTTACAATCTATTAGAAAAATGCATGATTTCTTAGTCCATGTATTCTATAATACATTGTCATCAAACGACCCCTAATTTTTGTCTTGGCATAATGTTCAGGTGACGAAGGAGGAGCTAGCTGTTAGTGACGAGTTGACGAGTTTTAGGAAACACGTGACAAGCCTGGCAGCTCTTGACTTCTTGGTGTGCTTGAAGTCCGACGTCTTTGTCATGACTCACGGTGGCAACTTCGCCAAGCTGATCATCGGAGCACGTAGGTACATGGGTCACCGTCAGAAGTCCATAAAGCCAGACAAGGGGCTCATGTCGAAATCCTTTGGGGATCCATACATGGGATGGGCAACGTTCGTGGAGGACGTGGTGGTGACTCATCAGACGAGAACCGGGTTGCCGGAGGAGACTTTCCCCAACTATGACCTCTGGGAGAATCCTCTGACCCCATGCATGTGTAAAGCTTAGACAAAAAAAATTTCTTCCTACCCAAAAGACTGATTTTGCATGAAAGGTTAAACAGTGGGAGCCATTGAACACGGGAGAGCGAGTAAGCATAACTGAGAAGATGAGGAGGTGAGGGAGGCTGCACCATCTGTTGTAAGTTCTTTTGGTCTCAGTTGCAGTGTCTCATAATAGTTAGTATTCTCTCACAGGCAAGCCTCCTCCTGTGTAAGGCCGTGCCTTGAAAATGGATCGGGTTTAACAAAGTTGATGAAACAGTCTGTATTCAATGTTTCAAACAAAGACTAGAGAGAGTATAACATGTTTTTACCTTGAGTTTCATGTACTAACCTTTCATACTGTGTAAAGTACAGAATTCCCAACTTCCCCTATCTCCAATCTAAAGTCTGAACCAAGTTCCCTGATGTCACTACTCAATTACTCATCACTTCCATACTGTATGTGTTAAGGTGAAGAGAGACTACTGGAATCAGATTGTTTGAACGTGGTAATGGGTGTCAGGCGCTCTTCAGAAATACAGACGGAGCTCGGGGTGATTTGCAGGAACATCAGAAAGTTATTGGAGGAGACAGGTGGTGGGACATTACAATATGTTAGTCGAAAGGCTAATAAAGCTGCGCATATCATGGCGCATACGAATATTCTGTGGGATATAGCGGATGTTTGGTTTGATAGACCTCCGCTGAATCTGATTGATCAGCTTAAACTTGACGATGTGACAATTCCAAATCATTGAAAGCTGACTACAGCTTCCGATCAAGAAAAAAAAAGGACTGACTTCACGGTAAGTAAGAAGTGATATCTGTTAACTGCAGGCAGTTATGTTAACAGAAGGCAGTTATATCAGTTGGGTTGGCAGAAGAAAGCGCATTACGTACGTGGACAAAAACTAAAGCGGTTTATCCGCAGCACAACCCACAAAATGTGATTCGGAAACATAGGAAAATCCTCTGACCACGTTAAAAAAAGGGAAAGACAAAGCCATAGCCAGGCCAGCCATTGGTGTCGTCACAGGCTCTTCATCTTTCGTAAGCAAAACTGTTGCTTACACTCTAAAATCAGTCGATATCACCTTGCTTATAGGAATCTCTGTTCTACGATGATGTTCCAGTTCAATTACTTCCTACTCAGAAAGGAAACCTCTTGTTCAACAAAGAAAGATGAAGTGTCGACATGAGAGACCCAAAGTACAGAACACAACAATTCCCAGTTTCCCCATCTGTCTTTTGTGTCTTTCTGCTATAGCGTGAAAGGGTCGTGCAGCATTGATAATCTCCCATTTCCATCTTCTTTTCTTTTGGGTCGCGTCACTCTCAAAACTAACAGCCGAAGATAGATTGAACTGGATAAAGTCCTTGTTCCTCGTCTTGTCCGTGTTCTTAACTTTTGACACTCCATTTATAAGTGAAGAAGGAAGAAAGCAGAGAGAGCGGCAGCAGCTGCGATAGAACAGATTCAATGAAGACTTCCCTCTTCTTCTTCTTCTTCTTCTGCTGCTCACTGTCTCTCCTCTTCTGTTTCCATCTTCCCAGGTACGAGTTTCTTGGTTAAGTTAGGAGCTTTTCTCTGTTACTCTCTAATTTTACTGCTAGATGCTTGCATTTTTCTTTTGGCCATTGACGATGAACCCACAAGGATTGAACTTCAAAGTTCTGAACTTTTTGGGGTTCTGGGTTCTGGGAAGTTGAAGAAAAAGTTGGTTACTTTCAGATTCGGCTCTGCTTAGCAAGTTTCAGATTCTTTTAGCTTTACGAGACCTTGATTTTTGAAAATTGCAGGGTTTCATCGTCTGCTGGTGTTGACCGACTTAAGTTGCCACCAAGAGGTTGGAACTCGTACGATTCCTTCTGTTGGACGATTTCTGAGGATGACTTCTTGACGAGTGCTAAAGTTGTTGCAAAGTATCTAAAATCTCATGGATATGAGGTATACAATAGGATTTTAAGCTACAACCAAGAAACTTTCTAATCCGAGGGCTTCCCCATTACTGAAAACTCTTTCCATTTTGTGTTTGTTTCAGTATGTGGTGGTGGATTACCTTTGGTACAGAAGACTAGTTCCAGGCGCCTACGTTGAGTCTCTTGGGTTCGATGTGATCGACCAATGGGGGAGAATGGTTCCTGCTCCGGATCGATGGCCTTCTGCCAAGTCAGGGAAAGGGTTCACTGAAGTTGCCAAGGAAGTCCATAGTTTGGGTCTCAAGTTTGGAATCCATGTCATGAGAGGATTGAGCCGACAAGCATTTGATGCTAACACCCCTATATTGGACATTACCACGGTACTTACATGCTCCTCTTTTCCACTTCTGTGGAGTTCATTGGTTTTCATGGCTGCGCCTTTGATTTAATTAGGGGCGTGCTTACAAAGAATCCGGTCGAGAATGGAGGGCTCAAGACATAGGGATCAAGGAGAGGAGTTGTGCATGGATGCCACATGGTTTCATGAGTGTTAACACTTCATTGCCTGCTGGAAGAGCCTTCTTGAGCTCACTCTATCACCAGTATGCCGAGTGGGGTGTTGATTTCAGTAAGTCTGTGAACGTTTCATTCATTTCATACCCAAGTGGTGGATCTTTCATGTTATGAGAAAACATATAATTATCTCTTCTTTTTGTAGTTAAGCATGATTGCGTATTTGGTGCTGACTTCAACTTAGAAGAGATAACATATGTCTCGAGGGTGCTGAAGAAGCTCAATCGACCAATCTTATACTCGCTCTCCCCTGGAACTTCTGTCACGCCAACTATGGCTAAAGAGCTCAAGGGATTGGCAAACATGTACAGAGTAACCGCAGATGATTGGGATTCGTGGGGAGATGTGGCTTCACATTTTGATGTTGCAAGGTGTGTTAAAAGACTTCATACATGATTGTCTTTGGATATTCTTATTGGTTACATTGGCTAATTGTGCTCTAATGCTTTAGGGACTTTGCTAAGGCAGAAATGGTCCCAGGTGAGGGCTTGCTTGGAAATTCATGGCCCGATTTGGATATGCTGCCCTTAGGGTGGCTTACTGATCAAGGTAAAATATGTTGTGAGATCTTGTTTCGGAGAGTTTTGATTTTATACACAAGACGTTGGTTCCTTAATATGAGTATTTTAATTCCAGGAGTCAATAGAGGGCCTCATAGGCAATGCAACCTTACCCTTGATGAGCAAAGAACTCAGGTAGGCAAGTATCCGAATGGTGGTGGACAACAAATTGACCGTTTATTCATTCCAATGGAACCCGATATGATGAGCCTTTTGCTTTGTTTCCTTCACAGATGACTTTGTGGTCGATGGCAAGGTCTCCGCTCATGTTTGGAGGAGACGTTAGAAAGATTGATATGACAACTTACAAATTGATCACTAATCCTACTTTGCTGGAGATAAATGATTATAGCTCCAACAATATGGAGGCATGTGAAAGTTTTTTGCTTGCTCTCTTTGACCTACCTTGCGACTGTAATGAATTAAACTTAAAAGTTTGTGTTTTTATTGATGAAGTGGCATGCTTGCATTTGCAGTTCCCTTATGTTACTGGGAAGATACTGGGTCCAACAATGAGCCATCTCACAAGGCAATCAAGGATATCTATGTTGAATCGAGGCAGTGATCATCATCATGCCCGGGGTGTAGGTCTAACGAGTTGCAAGGATTCCAATGCAAATGGTTGGTCGGTTGAATCTCTTGACCAGTACCATGAACAGATCTGCTGGAGGGAGGAGGGAGAGCAGCTAAACCAGGAACCGTTATGCCTATACAAGAGGAAACCTCTCTTGGCTTCAACGTAAGTGCTCCATTTGGCATATTCATCGTCATTTACCATGGCATTATGTTTATCTTCCTGATAGTTAGAGCTCAAATTTGTCAAATATGCAGCAATGATCATGTGCTTTATGGCCAAGATAGCCGCCAATTGTTCACGAGTGATGACGGAGTGAAGTCTTGCTTGGATGCTTCTCCAAGACACAAAATTACTTCCAGAGAGTGGAAAAAGCAGCCCTCATTCTCAACCTGCAAAGGGGATGCCAATCAGGTATATATATACTGCCTTTTTTCTTCTTCTCCTCATATTGATTGTCAAACAATATTCTATGGTTATTGCTGCAATGGATTAAGAGCATGAACAACTTTTGCCAACAGATGTGGAAGTTGAGCAGCAATGCTACTCTCAGGAGCAGTTACTCTGGCCTATGCGTCAGGGTAAAGCAAGTTAAAGGTAATGGTCACTCAGCCCTGGATGCTAACAGATCGGTCACCACAAACTTGTCACTAAACCTTTAAGAAAATAACATAATACACATTTCATCAAGATTTTCATCCAAATTGTCGAGATCAGCATGTCGAATATCCGTATAGAAGAACGAAGGGACGAGAGTGGTTAAGATAATGTTGGTTGAAATTAGGCAAAGTCTGATCAGTACGAGTTATCGTCCATATATGCAAATTAGCGTTTATTCATACAAACATATCGTTAATTTGGTTGAGTTTGCATAAAATAGTCAATTTTGAGGGAAAATGTGATGGAAATAATATATACGAAGTACATGTTAGGATTTTCAGTGACTGGTCTGAAATTGCAAACTTGTTACTTTTACTGATGTTCTGTTCATATAGCTAATGATGTCAGGATCAGTGGGGTACGATCCTGGATTGCGACGGGAAGACGAGGAGAAATCTATGTTGCTTTCTTCAACCTCAATGTTGAGAAGACATTGATCTCGGCCAAGTTATCAGACATGGCCAAGGTGCTTCCAGGGAGAAACCTGGAACATAAAGCTGCTTGTAAAGGCCGAGAAGTTTGGAGCGGGCAGCGTTATGGAGCTGTGGGGGATCCATTGGAGATGGTAGTGGAGAAGCACGGATGTGCACTCTTTGTCCTGACCTGCAGCTAGTTTAGGTTAGTAGAAAACTATGTTGTTGCAGTAGGAAATCTGTGTTATTTCTTTTTCTTTTCTAACTACTAGCATAAGTTAGAGGGGAGAAAGAGCAAAAGGTTGAAGCTTTATTTCAGTATGGTGCTTAAGAAACCAGAGGATTGGGAGGTTAACAAGTGAGAAGTCAGAAAAGCAAGGGAGTTTTATGCGTGCTCTGTTTCCTCTGTTTTCTGGATAATTATCACAAATGGTCACACAACCCATCAATTAGTATAACACGATCACTAAAGTTTAATTTTACTGGTTTAAATAAAACATGTTCTCCATAAAAAAAATCCGTTAACTCAGTACAATCAAGAAAGAAAGGTGTCTACAAGCTTGGGCTCTCCGAAGATCGATTCACCGGCGATAACCTGTGCGGTGTTGAGTTGTAACTCAGGCAAGATGTCTCTCTTGTTCTCTTCAGTAAGAATAGTGATAGGTAATAAAGTTGAGAACTTTGGCTATTTCGTCTGTCCTTTTCATTCGATTCCATTCCCTGGTTTTCCCCTGCTGAATTTCTGCAGGCGCAGGGGGATTCCGGCGAGCTGCTGACCACTCTCCTGGATTATGGCTAAAATTTTGAAATCTTGGTATTTTGAAATGTTTGATTGTACCAATTTGGTGTATGGGGCTTGGGAAGAAAGAGAGACGGTTGGCTGTTGGATTTAGGGAAGTTGCATTGAAGAATGTAGCACTGAGGAATTTAGTTTACCTGGTTTCGGGTCCTTAGAGAATTGTTGTGGACCGAATTGGGAATGGAAGCATGAGCTTGATGAGCTTACCAGCATGATATTCAAAAACTTTAAGATGAAAGGGGATATCAGTGTTGTTCAC